TATTATTTATTTTAATTTACTGAGAAAATTTTTATTAAATATGGCAACCCCAAATGTTTTTTTGGGAAAAAAAAAAAAAAAAAAAAAAAAAAAATTAGTCTTGGTAAGTGAAATTATAATGGCAAGTTTAAAATGTAAATTATAAATTAAGTTAGCGGCGCTGTGCTCTGTGCATTAAATGCACTCACAACCTCTGTAAATCTGGAGACAGTATTGATCTTACTGCTGCTGCATAAACTTAAAACAGTTCGAGTGAAGAAGGCAGCAGCCCTCATTTGTGTTGCTTGAGAACAGTGATACTGGAAAGGAAAGAGATGTGACAGGATGGAAAGCTAGTTCAAATGTTTAATCAACATTGTAAATAGTCCAATGTTGGAGTAAATATTTTTTTTTTTTTAATAAGTGGTCCTCATAAATTAAATTGCTTTCAGAAATGTGTGTATTGTTTTTATTATTATTATTATTATTATTATTATTATTATTATTATTATTATTATTATTATTATTATTATTTTGTGTGTCTCTGTGTTTCCTTGTGATTTACTGGCACCCTGTCCAGTCAGCATAATATATCGGATTACAGTCACCCTCGTAAGAGCAGTGTGAGCAATACTGTAGATACAAAGAGCTACTTGGATGCAACATCTGGAAGTATTTTATATCCGACGGCCTCTTAATGCCTAAATGGAATGCATTTGGATAATACATTTAACCTACTGGACTCTAACAGCCTCTAATCTTCACACTTGATGTACATTTTTAGTGGCTGAAATGCTAATGATCACAAGGTGTGGCTGGAACATTGTGCAAAGGTAAAGATGAGAAAGAATCGGGGAAATGTGTATAAATCATAATCAATATTGTAACTACAATTTTAAGCAAGAGTACTGCAATTACTTTCTTGATATAATGCAGCCTTGGATGTTACCATAAAGATTAAAGTTTGAAAAGAAGCTTAAAGTTTAAGAATCACTAAACGGAAAGATAAATTTGACATTTAATTTCAGTGCATATTCCAACTAAGAATGCTTTAAATAAAGGTGTCAGCATATCACTTCCTATCACTTGTCAGATGAATAAGATACAGCCACTATTTCACTCTGGGTTCAGCCGGTGTTGCTTTTGCAAAGGTTGCCAGTTCTAAACACATTTCAGAGACATCTTTTTCTTCCATTATACATATCTAAAACGATGGACAAACCCACCTGCCAGAGGCAAAGTTGCCTCGGGCACAGGAAAATGACTACCTGGAGAGCAAAGATAGTGAGTCATGTGTACATGACCAAAGCAAAGACAACCAGCTAAGGGATGTTTGTAGCTCAAAAACAATTACTGCTCCAGGCAAACTTATTTGAGTTCCTGGAACTGTTGCTCATGACAAGATACTTGGCGAAAATGGGATTGTCAATTTCATTGTTTATAGCTGAATACTGATCGGGTATTTTTCTGGTTTGCATCCACAGAGAGCAGAAGGAAGCAGGGCAACCTTAAAATACAAATAAAATAAAACAAAATAAAATAAAAAAATATCAGCAGACTTATCCGCCTCACATTAGGCAAATTATTTACCTCTTAAAGAGGCCTTTGTCTTTGAAGGATCCAAGTAAGTTGCCTAAAATGATTTTGTGAGTTTTTCTGAAGTTACAAACTGTTTCAGTGAGCGTGATTTCAGCTGGTTTCATTTTATGTGCTGCTATCAAGTCAAGGGGAGCCCTGGCTGAAGAGCTCCGCGGTTTTCCAACTGATCATTGAAGGCACCTCTTCCAATCAGTAAATACTGTGTACAATCCAAGGCACTACACAAGTTTACAGCCTCCCATTATAGTTTGTGTGATGTTGTGACTACAAATCAGTCAGTCTTTGATGTGCATGGAGTTAATTTCTAGTTAGGTGGTCTTGAGATTCCTCTGTAAATAAACCTGATTATGTCATTCATATGCAAATGGTCACATGACGTCAACTGGCTTTTCAACATGTCAGGAGGTACTTATGCTCGAACAAAAGGGCCCATGCTGGTTGTCGGGGTACAAACCAATGCTTTGAATTTAGACACTGCCAATTCAGAGTCTTTTTTTTTTCCACCTTAATTGGTTTACTGCTCAAGTCCAGTTACTTTTATCTCAGGTTTGCAACAAGAAGCTGGTACAAGTGGTCAGGGCTGGAAGTTATGCAGTCAAAAAAGCACACAACTAAATGCCTCACAGGTGTTTAATACACCTTATTAACGTTAGAGTGCATTCAGCTGGTGTGAATGCACGCTAAAGCAGAGTGTCAACTACGACATCTGACTTTTATTTTAGAAATTAGGAATTTGAGTCTGTAAATGTATGTAAATTTGTCCTGAAAATGATAAGAACCTCGATAGTTTTAGATCTACTTAATTGCTTACTTAACTACAGATCATTTTCGGGGTGTGGTGGTGGTGCAGGGGTAAAGCGCGGCCCATGTGTGGAGGCCTTAATCCTCGACGCAACCGTCACAGGTTCAATTCCTGGCCTGAAGACCTTTGCTGCATGTCTTTTCTCACAACCCACTTTCCTGTCTGACAACTATCAAATAAAGGCCACTACAGTCAACAAAAACAGAGGAACATGATCTACCAGCCCAGGCTGAGTGTGACAACGATGCATAGTGATTAAAATGCTCCTATTCAAAGGTGCAACAAGCACATATAAACAAACAAAAAAATATCTTGACTCAGATTATTAGTGGAGATTGCTGATGAAGCTAACCTTAGAAATTGCATCAATACAAGCATATTTGTATTTGTCAGCTTCTGATGGCTTTTGAGTGTGGAGCAATGTATCAAATCTTTTAGGCCCTACCATGCTGACTTGTACCACCAGCCAAAACAATATTGAAGAGAAAATACACATCCCCATGACAACACAATTCCCTGACTGCAGCAGCCTCCCCAAGCAGGACAAAGAGCTCTGACCTCTTCCATTCCCCTACTCACAGAACCTGGGTTTTTTGCCAACATTCTGCTGCCCATGCTCCAGTGGGTCAGAAAGGTTTATGTAGCACAAAAATAATCTACACAATACAGGCCATGTGTTTTAGAACTGCGGTTGATGGATGTACGTTCACTTCTGTTTTTATTTTCTTCTTTTTTTCTCTCTCTGTGATAGACTACAGACCTATAGCTGACTTCCAGTGATGCTTTTTGTTAACTAAAATGTAACATGGTTATAATAAACATTTCTTTATGGAACTACTCTGACCATCTGTACCTCTTCCTTCGGAGTTTCAATAAATGGAAACACTAATTCTTGTTTTTTTTTGTTTTGTTTTGTTTGTTTTGTTGTTGTTGTTTTTTTCAGCACAAGACACTTAAGAGGAACATATTTAAAAACTAAATAATTCTAATTAACATTTACCATAATTATCATTTCTGATGTCAAGTGCATTTCCATTTTTAAAAAAAAATTGCCTTGATTTTATTAATAAAAAAACAAAATAAAAACAAAGGTATTAGACAATATTGTGCCTTTCACACAGTACTTCCTAAAACTCTGGGAACACAACATTCCATACTTATTCAACCAAACTACCCCACCTTCATTGTTTTAAAAAGGATTCACTTTCACATTTATGAAATTTCTAAGTAAGGAACAATTAATTAGCATTGATTTTCTTACCCAAAGACTTCTCAAACTGATGAAGGTCGTATGACTCAGCAACCTAACAACAATATTGTTACATCTCTAAATGCAGCATCCCAACTCCATCATGTTTTACAGGTTATTGGTCCATGTTGGTGTATAACATACAGGCTGAACTTTAGTTTTTTTTTATGTGATACAGAACACTCACAATACTTTTACACTATGGCCACATTTACCAGCTGCACTCACAAATGCACAGACACGTACACCAAAAGGAGAAGTGGACGACAACGTGCCTTGCCCAGTGGAACTCTGACATTTGGCAGGGATTGAACCCTTCCTTGAGGCCATCATTTATTTATGTTTTGATTTTCACATTTATGAAATATAGTTTTTTTGTAAAAATATATAAATAAATAAGTAGTAATAAAAAAAATAAATAACCAGCGTCTCCAATCACTTTCATCCTGTGAACACCACCAGCAGTTAGCGCCTGCTTATGGATATTTACAAGGATCTGCCACAAAGATTTGAAATATTTTCTAAAAAAACATAAACCATAAACCTTTTCCCTGATTTATTTAAATGAATCAGACCTTTCCTCTTCCTGAACATGTAAATCTCCAGCAATACATGTCTGTTTCTGTAAATATATTGAAACTTATGAAACGGTTCACAAATATTTAAGCACCGCCATGCATTAGTTTAATCAGTGCAGCCAGATCTGAGTGCATGCAATAAAGAATGACCTTAACATGGTAGAGAATGATCTCATGGTAATTAGAAAAATTACTTCAGTCCATTGGTATGCCAGTCTATGGCTGCATTCTGTACATATCAATTAATTCTGGTGCAAGGACAGTGTAGTAGTCCAGAACACTCTTACTACTTGAGATATGACAGAAAAGCCACACACATTAAAAAAAAAAAAACCTCAGCTTTATTTATACCTTCAGGACATGGCACACAAAAAATGAAAAGCCTTAAAGAATTGATTGCCTGACAAAATAAAGTGGAGCTTGTTGATGTGCTGTGTATGGACTATATGTCTGCTGGAGATAGCAGTACTCACCCTCTCTCCATCGATTGCCTTTTGACCTTCTGATCCAAGTTCCCCCTGCAATGACAAGATTGAAAGTGTATAAGACACAAAATGGCCTCTTGAAATTTTCACTTAAATATTTTTTTGGGGGGGGGGATTTTCTACATATCAGTTTCCTTGCAGTGTGGTTCAGCTCACATATAACTGCAGAACTGCAGCTTTAGTAAAGTTTGTAACATATGTGAGATTATATGCAGCTTGTGAATAAGCTGCTTGAGCTTTACTAGCTGACTGCTTTCCACACACTCTGCCAGAAATGTGTGAGATGTTTTGGATCTTGTTGACTCTTTATTAGTGTGCAACTCAGACATACACTAGGATGACCTCGGCCATCCCATAGCTCAAGCAGGCTGCACTGTTTGAGTGTCCAGGCCAACTGGCTCTTTGCATTTATTGTATTAACAGATGGGGGACAATTTTGCTCTCAATCATTTTCCCAAATAGTGTAAAAATGTTTGTCTCAGTCAAATATGTTTCCTAACAACACCATTAACAATTCACATGTATAGAATGAATCAGTTTGGCTTTCTTTTCTGATCTTTTCCACCCCATGTATCAAGGTTTGTGAGGAAATAAGTCACCGTGGTATAAGCTCAATGTCGTCAGTGCAAAAAATATCCTGGATTAAGCCATCTCCCATACTCGAGAATAATCCCATTGGCTGACGTTTCAAAAGCCCATTTCCAAAGGATCTACCCAATTGGTATGCATGTAGATAGTATCAAGTACAGGGGTCTGCAAACTTTACAATCGAAAGAGACATAACCTTTTGAAAAGACAATTTATAGTGCTATAGAAAATTTGATGTAATTTTAAAGAGCCACCCACTTATTTTTCCAGGTTTGACAAAAAAGAAAAAGTAAATCTTTTGCAAAAAGAGGATAGATACATTTTCTTTCATAGGATGTTGACATTTGTGGAAAATGATAACCTGATGACAAGAAAATTTGTTCTTAAAAATATTACTAACGACGCTCTGTGTCGTTTTGTTGTGGTAATTCACTGCAATTATTCCACAAAAAATGTAAACATTGTTAAAACCTGCATTTTTTTTTTAAATCATATGTATATGTTTTATCTTAATCATTTCCAGACAAAGTTATTACAAGCTATTGTGGAAGGTCTATTTGTATTCATAAATATTTATTGCTTGAAAAAAGGGAAATTAAATGTTGTTGCAACTCATATTAATTTAAATTCTTCAAAGAGTTATTGTAGATTGCGATGGGTGTTGGCAGCAAAGATCTCTTGTAGAGATGACGCTCTGAACAATAGACTTATAGAAGATCTGCAGCATCTTGCTGCAAACCTTGAATGATCTTAGCTTCGACAAGAAGCACAGTCGGCTCTGTCCCTTCTTATAGGCAACTTCACTGTTGTGTCTCCAGTCCAGTCTGATAGAAATAGGGTTTGATCTAACCTTGTTTCTCCTGAAATCTACAATCATCTCCTTTGCTTTGTTTGCATTTAAGATGAGATGATTGTTCCCACACCATGCCACAAAGAGGTCCAGCTCTCTGTACTCAGCCTCTTGTCCATCTCCGATACCCCCGACAACTGCAGAGTCATCTGAGTGTTTCTGGAGATGACAGGAGTTGGACTTGTGCTGGAAGTCTGAATTGTACAGAGTGAAAAGACACCCAATCTAGTAAAATTTAACACTTATCTAAAAATTTCAATATTCTACATATTATAACTTATTTTCTTTTAACCCAGAAACACACCCCATGCTTTCTTGTTCCATGTTATAAAAAAGCTGCAGGGCAGCTTCAGTTTCAATGAGAGATTACCAACGTGTTGGCGGTACAGCAAGCGGTTGTTCCTGACTATCAGAGGGGAACTGTAGTAGATTAAGACAGCCATCTCTGATGCAAGGCTTGATAAAACGGCAGATTACTGGAAGAACAATTAAATCTACAAGAATATGGCTTCTACTACAAAGACATTTTAAAATATTTTTAAATATATGTATTTTATACAATATTATAACTGGCAACTCTAACAATAGTAGTATAAAAAAAATATGGGGAAAACTGTAATATATTGTGACATATACTTTACCATTTTCAGTTGATCAAAGCTTCCAGGGATATTAAATGAGTAATTCAGTGACCTTCTGTTTCATTTTGCTGTAAATATGATGTGACACACAGGGACATTTCTCTTAGGCACTTGCCACTGAGTTTTATCTTGCCTCCCCATCACCATAGCGAGAAAGATGACAAGATAGGGAAACAAAAACAAAACAAAAAAACTTCTCAATGCTCACTGAGAACAAGAGCATTTTAAGTTTACTAGATCTCAATAGAAAAACTATCCATATTCATACTGGTTGTTTAAGAGCTGTGGTGGAAATTCAAATGCTCAAAACACAAATGTTTCGGCTTTGCTTAAACTGTATAGGGACATTAATCAGAATAGTATAGTTTGCTCAGATGAAACAAGACGGTTTTTGACAACAAACACTCCAGGTGGGTCTGGCATGACACAACAAAGGATATGTGGAAAACTACCTCATGCCCGTTGTTAGGTGTGGTGGAAAATGTGTGATGCTGAGTTTATATTGTTTCACATTGAAAGGCCCTGAGAGCTAGGAGATGTTAAATAAAAAGTTAGTGACCTGTGAAAGACGGAAATGGATAGCCTTAGGGTCTTCTGCAAAATAACAATCCAAGATGTATGACTAAATCAACTTAGAAAGGGCTCACCAAACATGTAATTAACCTTCTTCTATCACTTTCTCAACGCAAAGACTAAGTCCTGAAGAAACGTTGTGGAGGACCAGAATAGGAAAAAAAGAAAAACAGAAGAGAGGACACAGGAATCTTGCTGATCTAGAGAGGAATGACCAATGATTCAGCATCAATGGTTCCACCTGTTGAAATTATATTTAAGACTAAGTGCTGTTTTACTGGCAAAACAGTGCTGTAGGTCAAACGTATGAGGGGGCAATAATTGTAGTCTTAGTAACCTAAAAAAAAAAAAAATAAAAAAAATAATGTGAGAAATCTTTGCCACTCAGTAAATGTACATAGAAGCAAGGATGACTTTATTTTTACACATCTTCAGCAGTGGTGCCAATAATTATGAGGTGTGCTGTATATGTAAGTCGTTTGTTGTTCACACACAGCAGCAGAAGGCTTCATCAACTGGGTATGCTTAGAGCTGTTCACACTCAGATCCTAACCCCCTTTGCACAAACAGCTCAAACATCCAGTAGACGTGAGTGCTGCATTGACAAGGACATGATTCCTTTCTGGCCCCCACCCAGGATGAATGCCAAGTATGTCCAACACGGCGCACAGCCAAGGCCGAAATGCCAGTGCTAGGAACTGAAACATGCATCTCTGCAGCAGTATGCAGTCCACCCTCCGACAAACAGGCACCCATGTTTTGGGCTAGTGAGGTTATAGCATCCCTGTCCCCTACATAACTTCAATTTATTTCAGTAAGGTCGAAAACTTGGTTCGGTTACAGCAGCAGCATCTAACTCCATCAACTCAAAAACAAAAGAAAGCAACACCCCAAAGTTATGTCCAGTGCTTCCTGGCAGCCTGACCTCCCAGTGTGTCCCACTGTGATGAAAACAGCATGGACAAAGGTTAGAGTAAGGTCCCTCATTCACACATTAGTGAATAGCATTATGGAGGCTTGTCATTGCGTCGGTGCTCTTGCTACTACAGCTGTCACACGAGTTCTTGCTGACACTATGGCTCAGCAGCTGCAGACTGGTATACTGTTTCTTAACAACTACAAAATGCTAATCCCAATCACTGTAAGAGTCATTGTATTACACCAACAACTGTGATGATAACTGTATCAACTTGAAAACAGAGAAACATGCACTCAATACTGGATTTGGATATGTTCATAGGCAATGTGGAACAAGAGTTAAGGAGGTATTGACATCAATTTTAATGGAAAGGATTTTGTGCCTTGTAAAAGTATTTAAGCCTATGGACAAAATTTTACTTCAAATTAATTTTGTTCATATTTGGTCTAATCTGATCAGAGCACCATCATTGGTGGAAAAACCACAAATGATCCTCTTTTAAAATTTGCACTCTTCATGCCAAAGTTTCTTGCTTTTGTCTGTTCAAATGATGAACAGAATTTGATTTTGATATTTAATAAATTCTCGTGACAAGCAAATTTGTCCTGCACGTAATAGTGCAGGTTATCTGGAAACACAATGGCATAGCTGGAAACACACACCAATATGATTATAGACTTATTCAACACCGGTAAGACATGCAGAAATTTGCATTGGAAACTAAACTGATTGGAAAGGAGTGACAGAATATTTACAAACATTTACAGACATATTTGCAGACATTTGCGAGACTCGGCACTAGAGAGGGTTTTGGTTTTGGTTGATATACATAGTAAATGCATATTCAAATTTTCACAATTTTATTAGCAAAAATTGCCATTAAATTTGTAATTCTCTGACAGGACCATCAAATGGCCAAAGGTTCATGACAGACTATGAGGAGGTCGGGTTGGAAGAATCTTAAAAGAGCGGATGAGTTTGACTATGTTTGGCCCTGTGCTTGTTTTTCCATTTCGTAATTTTGGTCAGAAATTAAAATTGAAAATATGAAAAATAAGTGTTAAAAACTAATAAAAATAAAAAAAAATTAAAAAAAAAACAACAATCACTTTTTTATATTTTGAGAATAAAAAAGAGTGAATGAAGAATGGAAAGAATGAATGATACATAAAAAGGCAGATGCTGCACATTTCTTTGGACAAGAAATAAATAAATCTAAAGGTACCAGTTCTAGGTTAAAATGCAGCCCACCACAGAAGCTGAGCTGCTATTTTTTTTATAATAGTTTGACCATTATTGCTACTTTTATTAAAAAAAAGAAAGTCTGTGTAACTTTTGCATTTATGAAGGTGACTCATATCGTGTGTGAAGATATGAATAATGATGTAGTTTGGTTTTAAAATTAATTATAAGAATTCCCATTTGCTAATGTCACTCACTAACAAGAAGATAAACCCAGTGT